GTCCGCCGCGCCGGTCGCAGCAGCGGAGAGCACGCCGCCGGTGGCCGCGACCGCCGTCGTTGCGCTGGCCGGCCTGATGATGTCCATCGCTTGCTTCAGCGTGGCACCCCGCGGGGGCGCCGTCAAATGGATGGTCAGACTCGGCTCGGCGGTGGCGGCGGCGGCGACGGCGACGAGCGGAAACTTCCAGAAGCGCTCCCAGGCTGCCGAAACGAAGACGTCGACGACGACGAGGCGGGACAACCGGGGAGCGGGAGCAGTTGCGGAAGGGAACGGGAAGGGCGGGGAGGGGGGGAGGCGGATGGGGGGAGGGGGAGGCGGCAGCATGGGGAGCAAGGGGAGGGGAGGAGGGGGGGAGGGGCAGGGGGAGGGGGGGAGGGGCAATGGGGAAGGGTGGTGGGGAGGTGGAGGAGGAGAGGGGGAGGGAGGGAGGAGGAGGAGGAAGGAGAGGAGGAGGAGGAGGAGGCGAGGAGGAGGAGGAGGAGGAGGAAGAGGAGGAGGAGGAGGAGGAGGAGGACCAGTGCAGATTCAAGACTCATCAACGATGTTGGAGTAAACCCTCCCTCCAAGCTCCCTCTTCATAGGCCCTTGTGCGGATTCATTTCCATTGACGGAAGTGCCCCGTCGGGAGACAATCGTTTGAACATCCTGAAGCGTTCTAAACTCCATTCTCAAGATTCCAACGCGACGAGTCTACCTGACTGCTGAGTTTTGACGATCCTGAAATGTGCCAGAACACCATTTCTGGGACCTCAACATCGTGAATCAACATACATGACTGTTGTGCTGCGCCATGACAATCCTGAATCGTTCCAACACGCCATTTCTGCTACATGCGTTGAACATGGGAACTCGTGAAACTCTTGCATGCTTACAACAAGTGCGCGCGGCGCCAAGGCCAGAGCCACATATCCGAAAGGGCTTCGCCCCCTGCCGCCGGCCCCATCTCTCGGAGAATGGGCCATGGAAGAGCGAAGTCATGAGGCTTTGGCTTCGCCGTGAAGCAGTGTCGGGACCCATTTGTTTTTCGACCCTGTCCCTACGGATCTGCGTGAGGGGTGCCGCCGAATTTCAGGAATGTGGTAAATCCTTTGTGTTTTTGGACCCTGACCCTACGGATCTGCGTGAGGGGTGCCGCCGAATTTCAGAAATGTAGCGAATCCCCTGTGTTTTTGGACCCTGATCCTGCCGATCTGCGTGAGGGGTGCCTCGAATTTCAGACATGTGGCAAATCCTTTATGTTTTTGGACCCTGACCCTGCCGATCTGCGTGAGTGGTGCCGCCGAATTTCAGACATGTGGCAAATCCTTTATGTTTTTGGACCCTGACCCCGCCGATCTGCGTGAGGGGTGCCGCCGAATTTCAGACATGTGGCAAATCCTATGTGTTTTTGCACCCTGACCCCGCCGATCTGTGTGAGGGGTGCCACCGAATTTCGGAAATGTAGCAAATTCATTTTGTTTTTGGACCCTGACCCTACGGATCTGCGTGAGGGGGTTACCGAATTTCAGAACTGTGGCAAATCCCTTGTGTTTTTGGACCCTGACCCCGTCGATCTGCGTGAGGGGTGCCACCGAATTTCAGAAATGTGGCAAATCATATGTGTTTTTGGACCCTGACCCCGCCGATCTGCGTGACGGGTGCCACCGAATCTTATCGGGAGGCCTCCAGAACTCCTGGCCCAACCCTGCAGCCCAGGGGGGAAGCTCGACACTTCGGGCCGCCGCCGTCGAACGACGAGCGGCGAGTGACGCGCGACGGGCGACGGCGACGCCCCTGCGCGGGGCCCGCGCCGAGCCGCCGCCGAGGACGAAGACGGACGACGACGGACAAGGAGGAACGACGACGGCGAGCGACGCCGAACGAGGACGGCGACGAAGCGACGCACGACGACGAGGACGACGACGAACGACGACGACGACGACGAGCGACGGACGACGACGACGAGTCCCCCCCTGCCCAGGTCTGCCTGCCCGTCCTGCTCGCGCGCCGCCGGCGCGGCAAGGCGCGGGCGGGGCGCCAGGGCGCCCCAGGAGAGGGCCGGCGGGGGGGGGGGGGTGGCAGCCGCCCTGCTCCATCCGGCCCTGCCTCCCTCCTGGCGCCCTGCGGCGCTGGAGCAGGGCTGTGTGACGGAGGTCCTGGGGAGGAACGTGTATGATGGCGAATATTCGGGGGAGCACGATGGCGAGAGGCGCAGGGGGAGGCGGAGGAGGAGGAGGAGGAGGAGGAGGAGGAGGAGGAGGAGGAGGAGGAGGAGGAGGAGGAGGAGGAGGAGGAGGAGGGAACAGGGGGATGAGGAGGACGGGGAGACCCCCTTTTCCGCTCCCTCTTCCTGCTCCCTGTCTCCGCCCCTCTTTTCTGTCCCCCCCTCATCTCCTCCCTCCTACTACTCCTCGTCCCCCGTCTTGGCTCAAGCGGTCGTGCGGTGCCGCCTCGCGCCTCTCGGGCGCTGCCGACGCCACCGGCGCAAGGCGGAGGCGCGTCAGGCGGTGGAGCCAGCCGGCGACGCTGTGGCGACACTGTGGCCCCCCTTGCGGGGCCGGCACCGCCGCTCGTCGAGGACGACCGAGACGACGCATGGGTCGGTGAAGAAAAAACGCCATGAGCATACACTTCTTTTGGCGCTCCGCGCGGGTTTCTTGGATCCGCGCTGGCCCCCGGCGCCGCCCCTGGTGCTCTCCGCGCGCCAGGGAGGGGGGTCCAGCGCAGATGCAAGACGTCTGCGCGGAAGTCTATGCTTGTGCCGCTTTTTCTTCTCACTGACGACGCACGGGGCTGGCGGCCCGGTGCGGCAAGCTGTGCGGCGGCCGTCGGGATTCAGCTGCAGCCTCCCGGGGGTGGAGGCGATGATCAGGGGGAAAAGAACACACAGGCACAATTCGTCGTCGATTCCCCAGAAGATGTGGGAAACTATGGGCAGTGGGGGGGGGAAAGGCAGAACCCCAGAGAATAGAGGGAAATCTTGGGAACCCTTCTATTCGTGTGCATATATAATATATATATATATATATATATAATATATATATATATATATATATATATATTATATATATATATATATAATGTGTGTGTGTGTTGTTGTGTGTGTGTGTGTGTGTGTGTGTGTGTGTTGTGTGTGTCCCAGGGCCCCCTCAGATGAGGACGCCTGCCGCGGCGGGCGTGCAGGCGTGCGGAGTCGCCCCCCCGAGCCCCCCCGGGAGTCCGCCGCCGCGGCGGCGGAGGGCTCCGCGAGGGGGGGGGGGGGGGGGCGGCGGAGGGCAGTGGCGGCAGCAGCGCCTACTGGGCGGCCGCTGCGGCGGGCCCCGCTTCACGTTGCACTGGGGGTCCACCGTCTTTCTGGTTTCGTCGGCTAGAAGGAGGAGGAGGAGGAGGAGGAGGAAGAGGAGGAGGAGGAGGAGGAGGAGGAGGAGGAGGAGGAGGAGGAGGAGGAGGAGGAGGGGCTGCCGCAGTTTGTCGCCTCCTCCTCCTCTCCTCCCACCCTCCGCGCTCCACCCCCCCGTCCCCTCCCGTCCTCGTTCCGCAGGCTGCAGGGCGAGCAGCCCACGGAAACGCCAGTTCTCTCTGCCACAGGTTCTGCGGGCAGGACCGTCGGCTTGGCGCTTCGTGCTGCCAGCTCTGGCCCGCCGTGCTTCGCGCGGCACGCTGACCACGTCCCGGCCCCTGTGCGTCCATGCCCCGAGCCGCCGCCGCCCTGCCACCCCGCGGAGCGGAGCGACGCGCCATCGGCGCCGCCAACCCGCGACACGCGGAGCCAAAGTTCCCTATCCGATCCTGTCCCCCGCCTCCGCATCGCTGCCTCTCTGACGCAGGAGACTTCTCACCAGAAGCGGGAACCGCCCAGCAGCACCGAGCAGCACGGGGGCCTTCTTTCCAAAGCCCCGTTGGCAGCATCAGAAGCCCCGTCGGCAGGATCGCCCGCTCTAGCCTACCCTTATTTCGGGCCTGTCCCCCTACAGGGGGATTTTCGATGACAAATGAAACATACACCAAAAATACCCCAAAAAGGTAAACACAAATTCAAAAAATAGTCCTCAAACTATTTTTTGACTTTTTTTTGCTATCTTTGGGGTATTCTTTATTTTTCGTCGATAATCCCCCCGTAGGGGGACAGGCCCGACTTAAGCCCACCCCGTCCTCCCGTGCCCCTTTGCCACCCGCCTGCCCCGCAGGAGGCGCCGCGGCCGCAGCAGAGCCCCCGCCCGCGGCCCCCTCGCCCACCGACGAGGGGGCCGCGCGGGGCGAGGAGGCGGATGGGCCTGTTCTGCACCACCACCACCACCAGAAGTTGGAGGGGGAGGGGGCCCTCCTCCTCCTCCTCCTCCTCCCCCTCCTCCTCCTCCTCCTCCACCTCCTCCTCCTCTCCTCCTCCTCCTCCTCCTCCTCCTCCTCCTCCTCCTCCTCCTCCTCCTCCTCCTCCTCCCCCCCTCCAACTTATGGTGGTAGTGGTGGTGGTGGAAAACAGGCCCATCGGAGGCCTGCGGCTCCGGCGCCGCGTGCCCGCAGCAGCCCCCGGCCGCTGGACCGCCGCCGGCCGGCGGTGCCGAGAAGTTTCCGAAGGGCTGCGCTGGCCGGCTGTCGGAGGTCTGCTCGCCTCGGGGTGCCCTCCTGCGGCTGCGCCTCGCGCAGAGCGCTCCGGGGGTGCCCAGTTGTCTCTCCCGAGCGGCCGCTGGGGGCCCGAGCTGTGGCCCACTGTAGACCTCCAGCGATGTTCCCCCCTCCCACATCCAGAGTGGAGTTCTCTGCAACCCGCCGCACAAGATCTCCTCTCCTCCCTCCTCTCTTCCTCACCATCGCCGTCCTCCTCCTCCTCCTCCTCCTCCTCCTCCTCGTCATCATCATCACCATCATCGTCCACCATCGTCATCAACATCACCACGACCACCACCACCACCACCACCACCACCACCATCATCATCATCATCATCATCATCATCATCATCATCATCATCATCATCATCATCATCATCAGCATCAGCATCAGCATCAGCATCAGCATCAGCATCACCATCACCATCAGCATCGTCGTCGTCGTCGTCGTGAACAACATCATCACCATCACCATAATCACTATTACTACTATTGTTATCGTCATCCCCATCACCACCATCATCATCCACCATCATCATCACTATCCTACCATCATCATCCTCATCATCATCATCATCGTCATCGTCATCATGATCATAATCGTCACCGTTCTAGTCGTCATCATCATCACCGTCATCATAAACACCGCGAACTTATCATCGCCATCTAGTCATCATTATCTTCAGGATCTGCATCATCATGATCATCACCATCCACACTCACTCCCACACCCACCAACACAATCATCATAATCATCACTATCATTGTCGCCATCATCACCACCACCATGATCATCGCACACACACACACACACCATATTCTCACAAACATCATCACCACACAGTGTTCTCACACTTACCATCACCATCATTGTCATCATCACCTCACTATCACCATCAATCATCACCGTACCAACTTTGCACAGTCACCATTCATCTCACTCACACACACTCGCACATTCATCTGGATGAACACTCAAGTGTGTGCCCTGTTTGTGAGTGAATAGAAAGGCAGTCTCAAGCGGGAACCCGCTCCCTATGGGGCCCGCATGCCATCTTACCGAGCGGATCATCGGCATACTCCTACCTAGCATAGCACTTGAGCACCCAAGAGGGCAAATCGTGAGGAAACCTCGATCGGGGGCTTCGTCTGGGAGAAAATGGCGAGGAGGTATCAGGCAGGAGCCCCCTCTCTTATCGGGGCCCGCAGGTCATGTTATTAATCCGAGACGGGTCATCGGTCATCGGCATACTCTTCCAGGCATCAGATTTTCAGCACCCCAAGGGGGCAATTCGTGAGGATGTTTCAAGATGGCCCCTCGTCTGCGATTGAATTGCGATGAACTCTCTCGCTGGAGCCCCTTCCCTACGGGGCCCGCAGGTCATATGACTAATCCGAGGCGGGTCATCTGCATACTCTACCAGGCATCACATTTGAGCACCCCAGGGGGGCAAATCGTGAGGATGTCCCAATCAGGAGGGGAAACTACCACACAGACACAATGAACTGTCGATCCCTTAGGACATATGGGAAACTATGGGAAGTAAGGGAGGGTGGGGGACGAAACTCCACAAGCTATGGGAAACTAGGGAGAATCCTGGGCCTTGTGGGTAGTTATTCGTGCGTCCCTGGGCCCCATCATTCAAGCGCGGGCATCGTCGGTGCGCGAGCAGAGAAGAAGTCTTGAGCGGGAGCGTCTGCCCCATGGGGGCCCGCAGGCCATGCTGCTAATCCGAGAGGGGTCGTCGGCACACTCTGCCAGGCGTAGCACTCGAGCACCCCAGGGGGGCAAGCCTCCTCCTCCCTCTCCTCCTCCTCCACCCCCTCCTCCTCCTCCTTTTCCTCCTCCTCCTCCTCCTCCACCCCCGCCGCCTCCTCCTCCTCCTCCTCCTCCCCCTCCTCCTCCTCCTCCTCCTCCTCCGCCTCCTCCTCCTCCTCCTCTTCTCCCTTTTCTCCTCCTCCTCGTCCTCCTCCTCCTCCTCCTCGTGAGGATGTCCAGAGCGGTGGCCTCGTCTGTGCGTGAATGGCGAGGAAGGCTCGAGCGGGAGCCTTCTCCCCATTGGGCCCGCACTTGATGTTCGGATCCGAGGCGGGTCCTCGGAGTGTTTGACCAGGCGCAGCACTTGAGCCCCCCAGGGTGGCAAACCGTGAGGATGTCCGCAGTGGTGGCCTCGTGTGTACAGTCGACCCGCAGAGTAAGGCTAGATATCCCTCCCAAGGGTATCCTCGCGTCCTTGCTTCCTGGGTCCATCCTTGGACACTTTCGTTGGCCGCGTCCCGCTCGAAACGCTTCGAAATGGGCGTCCAAGGGCCTTGTATCCTTATCGCGCATCGTTACTCTGCGGGTTGACTGTAAGTCGGGGCTCAAACGACGGGGGTCAGTGCAGATGGGGGTCAGCCAGGGCGACCGATCTTGCAGGATCCTGTAGGGCCAGGGGCGCACTGACCAGGGTTTGGGTGCGTAATCTTGTAGGATCTTGCAGGATCCTTCGCATTGACCCAGGTTTTGATGCGGGGTCTGGCATTCATGCATGCATGCATGCATGCATGCATGCATGCATGCATGCATGTATGTATGTATGTATGTATGTATGTATGTACGTACGTACGTACGTACGTACGTATGCACGTACGTACGTATTCATGTCTGTATGCCTGTATGCCTGTATGTCTGTATGTCTGTATGCATGCATGCATGCATGTATGTATGTATATATGTATATATGTTTGTGTGTATGCATGTATGAACGTATGTATGTATGTATGTATGTATGCATGCATGCATGCATGCATGCATGCATGCGTGCGTGCGTGTGTGTGTATGTATGTATGTATGTATGTATGTATGTATGCATGTAGGTATGTATGCATGCATGCACGCATGTATATATGATTATATGCATGTGTGTATGTACGCCCCCACGTACTTATGTATGTATGATGTGTGTATGCATGACTGCACATATGCATGTATGTATATGTATGTATGTATGTATGCATGCACGCATGCATGCATGTATGTATGTATGTATGTATGCATGCACGACTGCATGTATGTATGTATGTATGTATGGATGTATGTATGTAAGTGTGTATGTAGGCACGTACGTACGTGTGTATGTATGATGTGTGTATGTATGTACGTATGTATGTATGTCTGTCGGTCTGTCTGCCTGCCTGCCTGTCTGTATGTGTGTACCCACATACACATGTGTCTATGCATGCATGCATGCATGCATGCATGTGTGTGTATGTGTGTGTATGTGTATGTATGTAGGTATGTATGTATGTATGTATGTATGTATGCTTTGAAATGCTGGTGGCATCGTGCGCAAGCGTGCCGCCAGCGACTCCCCCGATTTTAATACCAAATCCTGGGAGTTCTTTTGTAATGGTGATCTTGAATGCGCGTTGTGCGAGCGAGGGGCACAATGCAGGTTGCATGTCCCAGAGTCGGATGACGACGGATCTGACCTCGACTTGCCCTCTTTTCGGCCTGCCCTCCGCAGGACTTGCTCTGACGGCGATTTCACCATAGCACTCACTGTTTTTGCATGAGCTGCGAGCCGATGTCTCCGATTGTAGCTATTCGTGCCCGTGCATCCTCGTGTGTCGAATCCTACCGTGCCGTGGTCCACGCTTGCACTGGCCGTTCGTTGGCGCTCGCCACCCTATGTTGTGCCTCGCTTATCGCATATGTCTCCTCTCCCAGAGTTGCGCGATTTCTTCTCATCCAATTGTTTTTGCCGGTCAATTTTCCATTCTCGGCGCGCTCAGACGTGTTGGTGGTGCGCCCTCCCTCCTCCCCTCCCTCCCTCCCTCCCTCCCGCCCATCCTCCCTCCCTCCCTCGATTCGTGCTCCTCCTCCTCTTTCTCCTCCTCCTCCGCCCCCTCTCCCCCCACTCCCCCCTTCTACTCCTTCACCATGAGCCCGTCCCCTCCTCAGTGGCCCCTTGCAACCTCGTTTTTGAGCAGCGCGGCGAGTCCCCCTATGACAGACGAGCGCCCCGGGGGCCCGCAGTTCAGGCCCGAACTCCGCTTGCGAAAAGCCCCCCCCGTCTTTCGACGGCAATTGTTTTGGATTTCGGCAGGGTTCGACAGTTTGCTTGTCAGTTCAGCTACGTTTGTTGTAAGTCCATCCTTCGATGAGGAGTGCGGCGACGCTTGGCCCAAAAAATTCAACGCAGCGCCCAGGGACAGCCTCGTTTTTGACAGGGAACACCCCTCCATCCGTGCAGCAATTGCTCAATTTTCCATTCGTGGCGTGGAGGAGGAGGAGGAGGAGGAGGGGAAGGAGGAACGAGAGGAGCAGGAGGAGGAGGAGGAGGAGGAGGAGTAGGAGGAGGAGGGAGGAGGAGGAGGAGGATGGAGGGGAGGGAGGGAGGGAGGGAGGAGGGAGGGAGGGAAGAGGAGGAGGAGGAGGAGAGGAGAGGAGGATGAGGAGGAGGGAGGAGGAGGGGGAAGAAGGAGGAGGAGGAGAGGAGGGAGGAGGAGAGAGGAGGAGGAGGAGGAGGAGGAGAGAGACGAGAGGAAGGTAGAGGAGGCAGGAGGGCGGGGAGGAGGAGAGTGAGAGGATGAGGATGATGGGAGGAGGAGGAGGAGGAGGAGGAGGAGGAGGAGGAGGAGGAGGAACAAGACTATTCAAACATAGTCAAGAAATAGTCAGTGGACGATCTTTAGGGAGGGCGTGCCCGATGTAGTACTGGGTGCCTCCCGAGCTCCCCTTCCGCCGGGAGTGCCAGGACGCGCTGGCGAGCCGCCGAGCGACCAGCTCGTTCTGGAGCGCCGCGCGCGCGCCCGTCCGCTCGGTGTCTCTCTTGGGCGTCACCGCTTGGTGCTCCTCCCTCCTCCTCCTCTTCCTCCTCCTCCTCTTCCTTCCTCCTCCTCCGCCTCCTCCGCCCTCCTCCTCCTCCTGCTCCTCCTCCTCCTCCTCCCTCCTCCTCCCTCCTCCTCCTCCTCCCTCTTCCTCCTCCTCCTCCTCCCCTCCTCCCCGCCTCTCCCCTCCCTCCTCCTCCTCCTCCTCCTCCTCCTCCTTTTCCTCCTCCTCCTCCTGCTCCTCCTCCTCCTCCTCCTGCTCCTCCTCCTCCTCCTCCTGCTCCAGCGCGGGCACGAGTGTTTCCAGGAAGCACGAGCGTGCCAGCCGCGAGGCGCCCTCCGAGAGCAGTCTCTCCTGGCCGCGCCGACGGCCCTGCCCAGGGCCGCGGAGCCTCGCACTTCTATTCTACTATACGCCCCAGGTGCCATGGCCCCCAAGAAGCCAGCGACGAAGGTGGGTGGGCCCTTGGCGAGGAAGCAGTTGGTAATTGAGACGTTAACAGCATCGGGGCCAACAGGGCCTCGGCAGCGTATGACGAGATGGCGGCCAAGCACGGGACGGAGCTCCTGAATTTGGTGAACAGTACTTCTGAGGCCTCCCTTGGGAGAGAGTTGAGAAAGCTATTCGCAACGTTCAAGATCAGCTGGACAAAGGAACATCACGCTCGATCCAAGGTCTCCCGTGGAGATGTGGACAGCAGCGCCAAGGAGGACCCCAAGGGAAACGAGTTCATCCCGACGGTCGCGCTGCACGAGGGTGATTGGTCCGTCCAGGTATCGCAGGAACCGCAGAAGACGGCAGACAACACCTACGAGAGCACCATCAGCCTGCACGACCCCTGTATGGCGAGCAAATAGTGTTCGACCCTTGCTGGAAGCCGCCAGCAGATGCCCATCGCGATCATCGGACTTGGCGAGCCCGACGCGAACTACCCCAATACCCCACTGCAAGTACCTGTGCTACGCATTGTCGCTGGTGGTGGAAAGCCACAGAAAACATTCATGAAAGGAGCCATCTAGCAGTTTGGTCAAACGGACGTGGTCTGCCAGGCAAACATCGCGACAGTGCAAGCCTTGCAGGAGGACCAGCTCGCAGCTACCCTTCGTATCACGATATATGAGACGGATGCTGTCCATGCAAATCCGAGTATCGGCCAGTTGTTTGAGGCGCAATTCACAGGAGTGGCCCCGATCCTAACCCACCAAGGCCCGACGGATCGCGTGGGGGGAGACAAAAACCAGAGGTATAAGCACTACAAGAAGTCGGAGGCGAAGTTAGCCCTGGACGAAGCATTGAGGGGCGCCTTTGATAATATCGCCAAGACGGTCAAGCCTGGAGCCCAGCTGTTGGGGCCACCGTCCCGAATGATAAGGACTGGATCAAGCGACGCCGTCGCATCTACGAGAGGAGGACGCACGTTAACAGCCACCTTTGTAGTGGCCAAAGGCGAAGCCCCTGCGTATCTCAGGCTGTCGGGGTTCAAGGGCATCACCTTCGCAAACTCCTGCGTCGGTAACGCGGGGCAAGCTGAGATAGACGAGAGCGAGACCTTTGTGATCTGGCCGCCCTCCTCCACGGCAACCCTGCATGAGGCCCATGGGATTGCCATCGAGTACGAGGGCCACCAGGGAGCGCTGCGCAGTGATCAGAGGTCGGTGGGCATCCGTATGGCAAGGAGCTCGCCAAAGGCCAAGGACATTGCTATGGAGGTACGAGGCAACGCGGCGAGTTTAGCTCGCCAGCGTTTCCGCATCGGCCACGTGCCAGCCAACATGGCCTCCAAGGGTCAGGTCAAAGGAGTGGCCGAAAGTCTCAAGTGGGGCTGTGATATTCTCAACGTCGCCTACGACAGCCGCGAGCATAGCCACTGTGCCATTGCTAAGGCGGGCGCCGCGCCCCAGAGCATGTGCTGGAGCGTTGGTGCAGCAGTGCAGCCGTGGGTGGTCACGGCGCTGATTGACAAGCCGAAAGTCCAGGTGGAAGAGACACCCCCTACGATCGTCTTGGCGGAGGAGCTCGCCACGACGAAGATCAAGGCTGCGCCGCCGCAGACAACCCCCCCATACACAGGGGCCAAGAGCAGCAGTGGCGGCGCCACCAGCTGCCACAGGCGGGCCATCATGGCTCACCAACCTCCGGGCTGCTGGCGCGGAGGCGCCGCCCCCGTCTGGGCCATCGACGGGGCCCGCGGTGCAGGGGCCCGACGGTGGGAACATGCAGGTGGGCGCGCCCATGCCCGTCACAGCTGTGTTGCCACAGCAAGCCGACGATCGCATTAGCACGCTGGAGCGAAACTTCGCCGACCTCCAGAAACAGATCAGGACGCAGACGGAGACCGCGGACATGACGAATGCGAACATCCATCAGTTGTCGGAGACTGTTGCCGCCCAGGGCCAGGCGATTGCTACAGCTGCGACTCGTTTGGAAGGCATGGCGGGGCCCCACGCAGGTATCGAAGCGATCGTGAAGAAGCTGGGCGTGCAGAAGCCAGAGGCAGAAGCTGAGGGGGTGCCGGCGCAAAGGGCCCCGCGTACTGAAGAAGACCTCGCCCGCTAGGGGTTCCCGAGGAAATGCTGTCCGAGTTTTTGTTGGGAAGTCAGGGCGAAAGCCCGCGGGCGGATATCGAGCGGAGTTCCGAGCCAAACCTCAATCGAGGAATGCGCTGCCCCTCAGTGCTGCTACGACCGCAAGTACCTCCGCGACAATTTTGAAGATTTTGCGAATTTGCCCATATATAACTATGATGGCGAGCGGGAAGGCCATCATGCAGACGTGGGCGGCTTCAAACCAACTTACCTGAACCTATGCGAGAGCGTTGGGGGCGACTGTGGCAAGCCTGCCTCCAGAATATCCGATCGGGGGCAGCATGAACTTGGCGCGCGGGATGGTCAGGGGAATGCCAAGCGGATATTGTCGGAATACTACCGCAACAAGGACAATGCGATGACGTCGTGCAAGGCCCTGGGCTGCCGCGGAGACGACGCCTACAACCGCGATCACTTTTCGGTACCACCTAATCGACTTGAAGGGCCGCTGCTTATGGGCTAGGAGTGGTGCTTCCACGACAAGACAACTACGGCGCGACGGAGCTGACGGACAAGGACACTTTGAGGGGCGGCCGTCACGGAAACACACAAGATATCATGTATCCAAACCGCCAAGCTGCCACGGCGAGGCGGGGGGGGGGGGAGCGACGGCCAGCTCCTGCGTCTCCCAGGGGGGGCCGCCGTTGGCCGATGCTCAGCCTCCTCCGGGAACGCCAGGCCCACTGTCGACTGGCGGCCCCCAAGATGACGAGCAGAAGCTTGTGGACATATGCTTTGTATGATACCTCAGCTGGCCCTTGCGCTTCAAACAGGTCTGCGCCGTGAACATCGCGACGCAGTCCATGGAGATGGGCCGCAGCGAGGTGAACAACATCGGTTTCTTTCACTAACTATCGCAGCCTTGGGTGCGCACTGGGGGCTTATTGATGAATTGCTGGATCGAATCATCCAAGTCGCAGATTTGCAGGAAACCAGGCGCACCAATGCGCAGAAGGCGGACTATGACAGACGGTTGCGCACCCTGGGGTGGCAAGCTGCTTGGGGCCAAGGACTGCCACCAAAGACTTTCACGAAGGCCCCCCTCCGAATGCAAACGCGAACATGTTGTTTATTGCCATGCTGCGGAAAATGGAGGAGTTGGCATTTTTGCACCTGTCACCTTCCCGCCCGTAAAGACAAAGGCCCTCGACCATCGCGCCAAGGCGCCTTAGGGCGCGCCGCGCTGGGCGGGGGCTTTCATTCCAATCGAAGGCGGCCGGGGATATTTCATCGCTTCACTCTATGGCAAATCTGGCGCGGAAAATGAAGGACTTTTTCGACTCGCTCTTCGAGCAGCTGCAGCAGGAGGAGCGGCACCATATTACATATGCATGGATTCTCAGATTCAGTGGACAGAGTCAGACACTTTGGCATGGGCTATTCAGTCAGGCGAGTGGCGCAACACGGCAGCACGATCACCTGATGAGTTTAAAAGGACCTATGGCCGAGACAAAGATTGGGACATACTAATGCCTGAAGACACTACCTCACATATTGATTATGTTATATGCAACACGGTGGGACTTCAAGTGCTTCAGAGATTCCGTCTCGTACGCGACCTGCCGTGCCCAGGACACCTAGGCCTCGATATTGCATTGAGTATTCCCGCCTTCAAGGCGCAAGTAAGAAGATAGAAGCGACCAGTGGCTTACCCAGTTGGAGACGTCACCATGCCAAAATAAGAAAGGGAAGCACTGGGGGCCCACCTGGTAACGCAGCATCAACAAGAGCTACTACGAGCACGAGCTGATCGCGACATTGACCTGCATTTTGACACTGCAAACAAGATTGCGGAAAAGTTCGTCGCCCATATGTCAAGACATCCCTCATCGCGCTACGGGTGGACGTGGGAAGTTTCTTACCTTTGTCAAGGGCACGGTCGCGCCTCAAGCCACTGAACATGGTGCTCAGACTCGGGCGACGTGGAAACCTTGCAAGCTAGATCAGCGACTTCATGAATATGTAGAAAAGGCGCGGCGTATTGAGCTACGAGGCGCACCCACGTGCGCAGAGGACAGCAGACAATGGTACCGACTGTGGGGCAACATTTGTCTGACGTGAAGAAACTGGCACCATGAATTTCTACTTGGGATGGCTTGTGGAACGCTCTGTGCCCAATTTGTGCTGAAGACGCCCAGGTTGCCAAGCGTGCCCTTAGCGAGGAGCTCAAATTCTGGCAGATCCAAACGGCGAGTCAACGCGCACGGCATTGGAACGATCGAGTCAAGATGGATGCGAAACACCACGGCAGCTACACTAGCGCTTGGGTCATGCCGCTCCAGCAGGCGCCGACCGCGTACCTGCGGAACCCGCGCGCTCTGGAGTACACCACGGACCCGAAGATGACCCACCACCTGCTGCACTTAGCCTGGGACCTAATTTTTGCTCGTTATCGAGGGGCGGAGCAAACGCCTACATGGGCAGATTTTGCAGCTGAATATGAGCGAGAGCTTCCACCTTATGTGCCGTGTGCCGTGCGTGATCTGCTGGGCGATGATGTTATTCGGTTTGTGAAAGGACGTGGACTACGTAGAGCTGGGGGCCTAGATGGCTGGACATCCAAAGAGGCTCGAGCGCTCCCACCGAGTATTGTGCAAGTTTTTGCGGAGGGCCTGGGGTGGACGCTTGAGGCGCAGCAGATGCCGCAGTCTTTCTTGGCAGTGGTAAACCCATGTCTGAAGAAGGGAGATGGAGAATATCCAGTAGAACAACGCCTACTATCAGTCCTGAGCTTGTGGTGGTATGCCTGGGAAAGTCCGATGTATAAGAAACTCTCGGCCTGGAGAGCCACGTGGACACATGCGACAAGCTATGGCGCCACGGCAGGAGCGGACCTACACAATGTCTCGACGAACTTGGCGTTGCAGATAGAGGCAAGTCATCGCTACGGGGAAGAACGCATGGGGCTCGCTCTAGATCGACAAAAGTGCTTTGACTACTTGGTCACAGATGTGGTGATGGGGCTTCAGATTCATGCCGGCTGCCCAAAACAGATCGTGGACGCGCGGATGGCTTTCTATGCTCAGCATCGACGTATCACCAAGATGGCTGGTTCTTTTGGATTCTTTTTCACCACTACGAATGCACAGTTGCAAGGATCTGCTTTCAGCTTGGACGATGTTACACTATTGCTGTATGTATGGACAGCCAGACAGCACAGATACATCCCCAGAAGTTTGTCGGTCACCTTCATCGATGACTCCAACAGTACGGTCACCAATGCACAAGAAATGCTTATCTCTATTACTGAGACGCTGAAGTTCGACCAGTACTCAGGACAGAAGGCTCATCCGCAAAAGGTGCAGGCATGGACAATTTTAGAACAACACAAGGACGACTTACAGCGCATCCAGATCGACGGCCAGCCCTTGAATGTCACGGACAGTGTGAAGCTTGTCGGAAGTAGAGTGGTGGCGTTGGGCAATCAGGACACATCGTTGTTGCAAAAACGTGTGATGATGCTCTACCAAGATTGGCGCGAATCCAGAGGCCCCCCTTGAATATCACAGATAAAGGAGAACAGGTGCGATCTTCGACCACAGCTATGATTACCATTGGAATGGACTTGGCTCTACCACCACAGAAAACGATGGACACCTTCAGGCAAGCTGCGTTCAAAGCCATTTGCCCACGTGGAAACAAGTGGGTATGCTGCTGGATATTATTTCACATTGGAATCACAGGCCGTGCGATTGTACCACGCACGGCTGCACACACGGAAGTTTTTCGAGCGCTACGCAGTGTTCTGGAGCGCCCTGGCCCACAGCACCAGGTGCTGGAATTCCTGCATGGCGCAGTGCAAGGCCCATCAGACCCACCAGGACCGATCAAGAGGCTAAATCAAGTTCTGCAGGAATTGGAATGGACGTGGCCAGACCCCACCATCATGTACTCGGAGAAAGGTACGCGAGTGGACTGGATCTCATGCCCGAAAGGTTATCTCTATCATGAGCTACGTGTATCGCAACGCCAGTGGTTTCAAAAGCAGATCCCGCGTACCATGAACGACATGGGCATGCTGAACACCAGTGCCCAGCGCCTGGACTCGTTCGACAACGCCTGGCTCCTACGCACCAAGCGGCAGCGATTCGGGTTGGAGGAAAAGAGCCGCTCCTTCCTTCTGTGTTTCCTATGCGGGGGGGTCCGCACTTAGCAGAGAATGGCCCGAGCCGAAATCAGTGCTGACCCCAGTTCGACCTGCGGATTCTGTAACGACCCCGAGGAGACCCAGGAACACATCCTTCGAGAGTGCCCAGCCCGGCATCAACTTCGGAGGCCCCTCCTGGACACTATCCCTGATAATGAATGGAATCGCCGACCTCCGTGTGCTACATTGTGGGTTATTTCTGGGGCGCGCGGAGCTGGTAGAGTTTTCGCAGAGCCGGGGCCTGGACCCTCCCCAACCGCGACCTCGACCTCCATTGAGTTCTGAGGCCAGCGACGATCACGATAGGAGAATTCAAAACATGCTCTGGGAAGACACCGATGGGGGGCCCTGGGTGCCGATGGGGGCTGTGGATCCTTGTGGCGACGGACGTGGCGTGTTCTGATGCTTTGCACCCCCTTCTTCCCAGGGCTGCTTTTGCTATGTACTACGGGCCAGGACATCGATTAAACTGCAGTGAGCGAGTTTTTGGCCCCTACCAATCGGCCCAAAGGGCCGAGGCGCTGGCGGTGGCCCAGGCGATTGCTACGCGTGAGAGCCCGATCCATCTCCTGGTAGACAACCAGGAAGTGGTTGCGAAACTCGAAATCCCATTTAAAGGTGGAACTCTGTAGAGCCCAGATGCCCCGACGTTTGGGACCGAATCGCCCTTGGGGTCCGAGCCCGACTGTCCATGCAGGAAGACTTTATCAGAGTCACCCATGTGAGCTCGCACTTAGGAGCCTGAGGTGTAGATGATGCTACTAGAATTCCAGTGATCTATA